TAAAAAAAATCTGCTTAAAATAAATACTTTTTTAAATGGGTTACATTGTGCTTTGTGATGTTTGATGTTAGACGTGTGATAACACAATTATGACACTTACCGGTAATTATGTTTGGGAAATTAGCATTATAAAGGACTAGTGTTTTCCCACAGTGTTGTGAATGTGACCTACAGGCAAGCAGATAGTGCACATGAAGTCTAATCCGCCATTCTGAACATTGTTGGGGAAGCTACTCTGAAAATATAGTTTACCAAGCTACCAATTACTTCAAACGGGAAGACATTAAGCTACACTAAAGCTACCCTTAAGAATAATATAGTTTACTTAACTAAAGTTACTTTGAAAAAGTAGTTCACTACATCTAAATTACTTCATAATTTTTTTTTATATCTACAGTGGGTATCATAATGTATTCACCCCCTTGGATTTCTTCACATTTTATTAAAAAGGTTTAAATTGTCATTTTTTGTCAATGATCTACACAAAATACTCTGCAATGTCAAAGTGGAAGAGAAATTAAATTTTTTTAAAAGATTAATTACAAAATAAAACACTAATATACGTTGATTAGATCATTATTCACCCCCCTGAGTAAATACATGTTAGAATCACCTTTGGCAGTGATTACAGCTGTGAGTCTTCTTGGGTAGGTCTCTAAGAGCTTTGCAGACCGGAATTATGCAACATTTTCCCATTATTCTTTTCAAAATTCTTCAAGCTCTGTCAAGGTGTTTGGGATCATGGCTAAACAGCTATTTTCAAGCAGATTTAAGTCAAAACTGTAACTTGGCCACTGATGACCATTCACTGAATTCTTGGTAAGCAACCACAATGTAGATTTGGCCTTCTGTTATAGGTTATTATCCTGCTGAAAGGTGAATTCCTCTCCCAGTGTCTGTGTAAAGCAGATTGAAGCAGGTTTCCCTCTAGGATTTTGCCTGTGCTTAGCTCCACCCTATTTATTTTTATCCGGAAAAACTCCCCTGTCTTTGCTGATGTCAAGTACACCCATTCCATGGTGCATCTACCACCTTGAAAATAAAGAGGCAGACTCGCTTACTCACTGATGTATTGTGTTGGATTTGCCCCATACATAAAGCTTTGTATTTACACAAAAAGTGTATTGTTTTGCCGTGGGTTTTTTTCAGCGTTACTTTATTGCCTTGTTGCATGTTTTGGAGTATTTGTATTCTGTATATTTGTATTCTTCTTTTCACTCTGTCATTTAAGTCATTATTGTGAAGTCAGTACAATGTTGTGGCACCATCCTCAGTTTTATCCCATCACACCCATTGAACTCTGTAGCTGTTTTAAAATCATGGTGATATCCTTCAGCTGTTTCATTCCTGTCCTGCAGCTCAGTTCAGAAGGACTACTGTATCTTTGATGTGTCTGGGTGGTTTAATACATAATCGACAGCATAATTATTAACTTGCCCATGCTTAAACAGATATTCAATGTCTGATTTGTTATTGTTACCCATCTACCAATCACAGCCCTTCTTTATGAGCCTTTCGAAAGGCTTACTGGTCTTTGTAGTTGAATCTGTGCCTGAAATACAATGCTTGACTGAGGGACCTTACAGATGTTGTATGCATGGGGAAGAAAGGAAGGGGTAGTCGTTTAAAAATCATGCCAACCGGGAGTCCAAATTTTACTCCTGAACTCATTAAGGCTTACCTAAACAATGGGGGTGAATACTTATGCAACACCTATATGTAGTTATATAATTTTGATTAATTTGTAAAAATGTGTAGAATTATATTTTTTTGTGTAGATCAATGAAAAACATCACTAATCTATTTCAATCCCTCTTTGTAATGCAACATAAAAAATTGTTTTAATGAAAAAGACTACAAATTGCAAGAACAGTTCACTCGGGAATCAGATGTTGACAGAATGTGTAATTTAGTCTATTAAACACAAAAACTATGTTTCAAGTGAGTATTAGGCAGTTCTGATGATGAAAAAGAAAGGAAATACTTGCCGATTGTCTTTTCTTTCCGCAAAAAAAGTACTGTGTAGTTCCAGTAGTTAAGTACACCGCTAACATGGCAGAAAAGTAAATAACTATTGAAAACACTAACACGATTTGAATGTAGGTAAACTACCACCAAGTTACTACAAAATATACAGTGCCTTGCAAAAGTATTCACCCCCCTTGGCGTTTTTCCTATTTTCTGCATTACAACCTGTAATTTAAATGGATTTTTATTTGAATTTCATGTAATGGACATACACAAAATAGTCCAAATTGGTGAGGTGAAATGTTTCAATAAATTCTAAAAAATAAATAACGGAAAGGTGGTGCGTGCATATATATTCACCCTCTTTGCTATGAAGCCCCTAAATAAGATCTGGTGCAACCAATTACCTTCAGAAGTCATATAATTAGTTAAATAAAGTCCACTCCACCTGTGTGCAATCTAAGTGTCACATGATCTCAGTATATATACACCTGTTCTGAAAGGCCCCAGAGTCTGCAACACCACTAAGCAAGGGGAAACACCAAGCAAGTGCACCATGAAGACCAAAGAGCTCTCCAAACAGGTCAGGGACAAAGTTGTGGAGAAGTACAGATCAGGGTTGGGTTATAAAAAAATATCAGAAACTTTGAACATCCCAAAGAGCACCATTAAATCATTACAAAAAAATGGAAAGAATATGGCACCACAACAAACCTGCCAAGAGAGGGCTGCCCACCAAAACTGAATAGTTATGCACGCTCAAGTTTTCTGTTTTTTTGTCTTATTTCTTGTTTGTTTCACAAGAAAAAATATGTTGCATCTTCTAAGTGGTAGGCATGTTGTGTAAATCAAATGATACAAACCCCCCAAAAATCCATTTTAATTCCAGGTTGTGAGGCAACAAAAGAGGAAAAATGCCAAGGGGGTGAATACTTTCACTAGCCACTGTAGTTCAATTACTAGTTTAACTACATGTAGTTCACTACTCCCACCACTGATTCTGAAACACTTGTCCACATACAGGAAATATCTACAGTAAATTATCTACATTCAGGGACTAATCTTTCTTTAAGTTTTATCTGAAGCAGAATAAACTTCAAAGACATGATTGATCTTGCAGTCAGTCACACGCACACGCACAGAAACAGCAGCCATAACCTGGGGTCTGCAATCTGTGGTTCTGTGCGGCTCTTCAACTGCCCTGTTGTGACTCCATGGCAATCAATAATGGGTCATTCAAACTGCGTGAGGCATCAGCTCAGAACAAAGATTCTCTGTTTATTGACACAAATCATTAACTATCTCATCTCAGGTACAACACACGTCCAGCAAAAGCACAAAAAGAGTGAAAAGCCATTGTCCTCTGCAAGAGGATTTACATTTAAACAGCATAATCCTTTGCTAGGTGGGTGGGAGGGGAGATATACATTTAATAGCATTACCCTCGACTAAGAGGGATACTTCAAACAATAGGCTGATGATGATTCAGTTGAAGCCAAAGGACTGAGCCCAGGTCTCCAGGATACATTACGTGGTACATTCTATTGTTTTCTATTCTTCTGAAATATATAAGCTGGATATGAGCTAGGGTTCTCCTACGCACGTTCCAAGTAAACACAGACAGAGAAGCAAAGCCGGTGCCAACAGTTAGGGGGTGATACAAGAACATTACCCCCCCCCAAAAAAAAAATCTGAATGGAAGAAGAAAAAAACATTCTAAAAACAAACAAGTGAAAAAGCAAACAGCATTGCAACTCCCCTCCCCCGAAATCCCAAAGGTAACTACACTAACCCTTTACCCCGCCCCATCCCCCTCTTTTATAGGTATAGCATCATACAGCAAAACGACGTTCAGAAGGTAGCAGACCAGAGTGGTAAAAAACACTCATGCAAATCAAGGCTGTTTTACACGGAGTCACAAACACAGGAAAGTCTTCAACCGGGATTCAATCCAATAGGCGTGTCTTAGCGCAGTAGACAATTTGGCTTTTAAAGGCAAAGTTCGCGGAGATCGTGCCTACGTAAACACTGCAGATGTTGGCTCAATCAATTTACCTTTAAATGTCAAGTGCGCTACTACACGGCTTTGATTGAATCCCAACCTTCTTCTTGTACAGTACAACAGTTCGCCCCAACAGTCAGTGCCTTCAGGGACCGTATTCAAACATCCATGAGAATACCTGGGCCTGTATTCACCAAGAGTCTCAGGGTAGGAGTGCTGATCTAGGATAAGATTTGCCCTTCAAACATAACACATAAAAGAGGGGACCTGATCTGAGACTCTTGGTGAGTAAAGGCCCAGGTCTTCTCATGTATGTTGATGTTGTTGTTGCTTACTTGTTTACAGACTTCTTTATTTTCTACTGAACGGATAAAAATGATATGTGTGTGACAGACTGTGGTCATAGGCTCCGTGGTCTTCTGGACATAATATCCTGGTTCTTCCCATGGTTCTCCAAATAATGTCCTAGTTCTAACCGTTTGACCAGGTTCTCCTCGGTTTTCCCCTTATCTGTTCGAGGGGCGAGGTTCTCCCTCTCTAGCTGAGGGTCCAGGTTGGCAAACAGTTAATAACCAATCCCATAGTCTTTTGCTAGGACCTCCCTGACCCTGAGATAAGTCCAGGAGGGAGGAAGGAGAAGGGAGGAGGGAGTTACAGTACTTCCAGAGACAGAAACAGAGCCACAAAGACAATCTTCTACGATGGTTACTATTCATTATTAAAAAAGGCATGATGTTTTTTTGGCATTTGTTCTTTTCAGTCCAATATATCATTTTGAACTCTAAATGTATCATGTTCCCTTTCTTTTTAGCAAACAGTTATCTTTTTAATTCCAATAGATAGTACACATTCATCTACGTTGCAGTTCCATTCACATTTAATCTAATCTCTCTTAGTACAGTCTTACGATATACTATATATGATGCTCTTTCCATAAAGTATTTCTCTCATAGATATATGTTCATATATAGGATGATCTCTCTCTCTCTATTGTGTATATAGCATATTGTATATAGTCCTGTCTCTGTGGTTACAGTTCCTGTGAGCTGATGACGTGGAACAGTGTGACGTTGTATAGAACCTGGTGTCCGTTGTTCCAGGCGTAGAGCGCACGGTCCCGAGGGTTGTAGTCAAGCATGGAGATATGGGAGTACTTGTTCTGGAAGGCGATGTCTATGTACTCGTATGTGGAGGAGTTAGTGCTATAGGCGTAGTACACCTTAGTCCCTCCAGAGTAACCATTGGTAACATAGAGAGTACCACAGATCATGAAGGCTTCACCGGCGCTCCTCTTGGGGTGATTGGTGGTCCAGCTCTTGATGATCTGAAGCGTGCTGGGATTCAGCTTGCTGATCACGATGTTTCCCGCATTCTGATTGGTGGCGTAGACGGCCCAGAGCCCGCCCTCGTCCACCATGAGGTCGATGTCAGAGTGGCCGCCCCAGGCGTAGTGATACATGTTGTTGAAGCCAGCGTTGTCCAGCTGCCGGGACTTACTGATGGCGGAGGTCTTGAAGTCAAACTTGATGATGACATGGCTCTGAAACTTGTTGAAGTAGATGGAGCCATTGTAGACCACCTGACCCGTCCCGGACCACGGGTGCGGGAGGCGGTGAGACGTGAAGTTGTCCGTCGTCATGAAGTCCGCCATGGACTTGTACTCCCGCACGAAGCGGTTGTTGTGGTAACCATCCATGTACCACACCTAACAGACAGAACAGATAAGAAGGAAGAACAGAGGAAACATTAACAGTCAGAAGCAACTCTATAACACAAACAAGATAAAACACACCCTGCAGTCGTTTTAAAACCCTCATATCAAACTCCTCGGTGCACCATTACGTAGATGGTAGCCATATACATGTGGATCTCAGAAAGCCTCATTAAATCGGAGGCTCGGCTCAGAGCGGAGCGGGGAGCAATGTTCCTGCCTCCTGATGGAGCAGACCAAGCTGAGATTCTGCCTGCTGCTTCGGAATACAGACAGTCAGGAATGACAGGCAGCTGCAGGTGGAGGGAGGCCAAGATCGGGGATGAGCACCACAGGGATAATGCGGATCATTCCAGATAAAAGGCTAGTCTCAGCTGTGGTTTTGGTTGTGGCATTAAGGAAGGCGCTTCCGGAGCACCAGCTTGGACCACTTCCCCCTCCCTCCCTCCCTCCCTCCTCCAAGCTCTTACACACCTCAACACCCCCCCCCCCCCACCCCCACCCCTGTGAACTATGAGTTTCAGGTCACTGTATAAAGCCTTTTGATATATGTAATGATTCAATCATGATGTTAAGATTAGCTTAGAAACTCACTTGGTGAAGGCCACTGGACTGAAAATGAACTAATTCAACAACCATGTCTCTGTCACTAACAAATACAGTGGGGGAAAAAAAGTATTTAGTCAGCCACCAATTGTGCATGTTCTCCCACTTAAAAAGATGAGAGAGGCCTGTAATTTTCATCATAGGTACACGTCAACTATGACAGACAAAATGAGAAAAAAAATCCAGAAAATCACATTGTAGGATTTTTTATGAATTTATTTGCAAATTATGGTGGAAAATAAGTATTTGGTCAACAACAAAAGTTTCTCAATACTTTGTTATATACCCTTTGTTGACAATGACACAGGTCAAACGTTTTCTTTAAGTATTCACAAGGTTTTCACACACTGTTGCTGGTATTTTGGCCCATTCCTCCATGCAGATCTCCTCTAGAGCAGTGATGTTTTGGGGCTGTCGCTGGGCAACACAGACTTTCAACTCCCTCCAAAGATTTTCTATGGGGTTGAGATCTGGAGACTGGCTAGGCCACTCCAGGACCTTGAAATGCTTCTTACGAAGCCACTCCTTCGTTGCCCGGGCGGTGTGTTTGGGATCATTGTCATGCTGAAAGACCCAGCCACGTTTCATCTTCAATGCCCTTGCTGATGGAAGGAGGTTTTCACTCAATATCTCACGATACATGGCCCCATTCATTCTTTCCTTTACACGGATCAGTCGTCCTGGTCCCTTTGCAGAAAAACAGCCCCAACGCATGATGTTTCCACCCCTATGCTTCACAGTAGGTATGGTGTTCTTTGGATGCAACTCAGCATTCTTTGTCCTCCAAACACGACGAGTTGAGTTTTTACCAAAAAGTTATATTTTGGTTTCATCTGACCATATGACATTCTCCCAATCCTCTTCTGGATCATCCAAATGCACTCTAGCAAACTTCAGATGGGCCTGGACATGTACTGGCTTAAGCAGGGGGACACGTCTGGCACTGCAGGATTTGAGTCCCTGGCGGCGTAGTGTGTTACTGATGGTAGGCTTTGTTACTTTGGTCCCAGCTCTCTGCAGGCCATTCACTAGGTCCCCCCGTGTGGTTCTGGGATTTTTGCTCACCGTTCTTGTGATCATTTTGGGGTGAGATCTTGCGTGGAGCCCCAGATCGAGGGAGATTATCAGTGATCTTGTATGTCTTCCATTTCCTAATAATTGCTCCCACAGTTGATTTCTTCAAACCAAGCTGCTTATCTATTGCAGATTCAGTCTTCCCAGCCTGGTGCAGGTCTACAATTTTGTTTCTGGTGTCCTTTGACAGCTCTTTGGTCTTGGCCATAGTGGAGTTTGGAGTGTGACTGTTTGAGGTTGTGGACAGGTGTCTTTTATATTGATAACAAGTTCAAACAGGTGCCATTAATACAGGTAACGAGTGGAGAACAGAGGAGCCTCTTAAAGAAGAAGTTACAGGTCTGTGAGAGCCAGAAATCTTGCTTGTTTGTAGGTGACCAAATACTTATTTTCCACCATAATTTGCAAATAAAATCATAAAAAATCCTACAATGTGATTTTCTGGATTTTTTTTCTCTCAATTTGTCTGTCATAGTTGACGTGTACCTATGATGAAAATTACAGGCCTCTCTCATCTTTTTAAGTGGGAGAACTTGCACAATTGGTGGCTGACTAAATACTTTTTTTTGGTAACTCTACAATTCAATCGAAAAGGCAAGGCACACTGGGAAATTATAATTAAAAGTATAATTTTGTAAATGCATTTGGTGTGTCATCATAGTGGTATCTGACTTGTGGTCAGACTCGCTCAGGTGGAACAAACTTAAAATTGCAGCTTTTTTCAATGCTGATTTGAATATCATTGAGAAAACAAAAAAGGGTATAAATATATTTTTTATCGCAAACAACCTTTCTGAATTTAAAAGTAATCCTAGAAGTAATCATCTAGTTTTTCAAAGTATCTGTAATCTGATTAAAATATTTTTGCTGGTAACGGAACGGATTACAGTTATAGTCTTTGTAATCTGTTGCATGATTGACGATTACATGTAATCCGTTACTCCCTAATCCTAAATGTTACACAGACAAACCAAGGGTAAAAAGCAATAGCAAGGATACCCACATATGACTTAATAATGTAACGTACAAATCAAATTCATGTACACATGATTAAGACAATGAAAGAATCGTGTGTATGTTTTAAAAAAAAACATCTTGGCTGACATACTGTATAAAAATCTTTGCTGACACCCTCCCTTCATTAGTGACCTAGCTGTCTGGGCTCAGGTGTAAACCACACAGATGTATCCTCTGCATTTGCATTTTTATGTGTTTTAGTAATGAAAGCCTCGCCTTTTAATTTTTTCAACAGACCGACTGACTGACAGAAAGGTGTGTGGGTTTGTCAGGGCTTTTAACAGCCTAGCCACTTCAACTCAGCGCCATTAGTGATGTCATCTGAGTGAGGGTAATGAAGTGTGTGTGTGTGTTTTTGGTTTTACTATCCTTGTGGAGATCAGAAGTCCTCACAAGGATAGTAAAACAAGGAAAAGCCGGAAAAGTGGGGACATTTCGCCTGTCCCAAGGAAAAAGGCTATTTTAGGGTTAGGTTTAGGGTTAGGGGTTAGGGAAAATAGGCTTGAATGGGAATAAATTGTTTGGTCCCCACAAGGATAGTAAAACAAACGTGTGTGTGTGTGTGTGATCTGAGTGAGGGTAATGCAATGTCAAGCACTTCAAATCAAATCACATTTTATTGGTCACATACACGTGTTTAGCTGATGTTATTGCGGGTGTAGCGAAATGCTTGTGCTTCTAGCTCCGACAGTGCAGTAATATCTAACAATTTCACAACATATACCCAATACACACAAATCTAAGTAAGGAATGAATTAAGAATATATACATACATGGATGAGCTATGTCAGAGCAGCATGGACTAAGATACAGTAGAATAGTATTGAATACAGTATATACATATTTGAGATGAGTAATGCAAGATATGTAAACATTAAAGTGACTAAGATACCGTAGAATAGTATAGAATACAGTATATACATATGAGATGAGTAATGCAAGATATGTAAACTTTATTAAAGTGGCTAGTATTCAATTTCTTAAAGTGGCCAGTGATTTATAGTCTATGTCTATAGGCAGCAGCCTCTAATGTGCTAATGATGGCTGTTTAACAGTCTGATGGCCTTGAGATAGAAGCTGTTTTTCAGTCTCTCGGTCCCAGCTTTGATGCACTGACCCCGCCTTCTGGATGATAGTGGGGTGAACAGGCAGTGGCTCAGGTGGTTGATGTCCTTTATGATCTTTTTGGGCTTCCTGTGACATTTCAGTTTGTCAGTGATGTGTACGCCAAGGAACTTGAACCTTTCCACCTTCTCCACTGTGGTCCCGTCGATGTGGATAGGGGGGTGCACCCTCTACTGTTTCCTGAAGTCCACGATCATCTCCTTTGTTTTGTTGACGTTGAGTGAGAGGTTATTTTCCTGGCACCACACTCCCAGAGCCCTCAACTCCTCTCTGTAGGCTGTCTCGTCATTGTTGGTAATCAAGCCTACTACTGTTGTGTCATCTGCAAACTTGATGGCCACGCAGTCATGGGTGAACAGGGAGTACAGGAGTGGGCTGAGCACGCACCCTTGTGCGGCCCTAGTGTTTAGGATCAGTGAAATGGAGGTGTTGTTTCCTACCTTCACCACCTGGGGTGGCACATCAGGAAGTCCAGACCCAGGGCCTCAAGCTTAATGATGAGCTTGGAGGGTACTATGGTGTTGAATGCTGATCTTCCAGTAGAAACAGGACTAAAACACAGTACGCATAAGTATTCAGACCCTTTGCTATGAGACTCAAAATTGAGTTCAGTTGCATCCTGTTTCCATTGATCATCCTTCAGATGTTTCTACAACTTGTTTGGAGTCCACCTGTGGTAAATTCAATTGATTGGCCATGATTTGGAAAGGCACACACCTGTCTATATAAGGTCCCACAGTTGACAGTGCATGTCAGAGCAAAAACCAAGCCGTGAGGTCGAAGGAATTGTCCATAGAGCTCCGAGACAGGATTGTGTCGAGGCACAGATCTGGGGAAGGATACCAAAAAAATTCTGCAGCATTGAAGGTCCCCAAGAACACAGTGGCCTCCATCATTCTTAAATGGAAGTTTGTAACCACCAAGAATCTTCCTAGAGCTGGCCGCCCGGCCAAACTGAGCAATCGGGGGAGAAGGGCCTTGGTCAGGGAGGTGACCAAGAACCCGATGGACACTATGACAGAGCTCCAGAGTTCCTCTGAGGAGATGGGAGAACCTTCCAGAAGGACAACCATCTCTGCAGCACTCCACTAATCAGGCCTTTATGGTAGAGTGGCCAGACGGAAGCCACTCCTCAGTAAAAGGCACATGACAGCCCGCTTGGAGTTTGCCAAAAGGCACCAAAAGACTCTCAGACCATGAGAAACAAGATTCTCTGGTCTGATGAAACCAAGATTGAACTCTTTGTCCTAAATGCCAAGCATTACATCTGGAGGAAACCTGGCACCATCCCTATGGTGTAGCATAGTGGTGGCAGCATCATGCTGTGGGGATGTTTTTCAGCAGCAGGGAC